ACCTTTAACAACTCAACCTCGAATAATAGTACAAACCTTTACTCAACTCATAACCAATAGTGTGCCATGCTCTTTGTTCAATACCTAGCCTTGGTGTTAGAATCCAACTCCTTTTGATGTATTAGATTCCCTTTAAGTGCTTTCCTAGAGTTTAGTTTATGCTTTCTTAGCTTGAGGTCCCATTATTGTGTTACTGTCAGATCAGTGTTCACTAGGGATTCTCCTTGTATGTCATTTAAAGCTCTTTAGAGGGTGAATGATTAATGAAATCTTAAGCCTTCTACCAAGTGTTGCTTTGCACTTATGCTTGTTTGTAGACCTTTATAGATATTGTGTCTTACTTGCATAATTGCTCCCCTCCAAACCAACTTGATGCACTAAGAACTCGTGGTTCGAACCCGCTTGTGCCCGCCTTGAATTATCGGTCGTCACAAGCCCCGACCACCCGCACTCCGTCGCCCAAATAGACGTGAGTGCTCTTTGATTTAATTGCCCGCTTGTGTTGCTCTGTGCTCGCAAGCCCCTCTTCCGCTCAAGGCTAGCGTTCTTGCCGCCAAAAGGCTAGAGCGCGCCGCACGTTTCGGGGTCCAAACTCCCGAACCATGACACTTGGACATGAGTAATTCGAATAAAACCAACAAGTATAAAAACTTTGATTTATGCGCACCAAAACAAGGGTTGACTTTGATTTGGAAAATCCAATTGATGATTGAATTGTATCATCATGGTTAACGGCCAAAGTAGTAAACACACGAGAGAATTTTTTTTTTTTTTTTTTTTTTTTTTGCAGAGTACAAAGTTGGAGTAAGCGGAGGCAATGCTTAATATTATTAGGGTTTAAAATAGTTTATATACGTTTAAAATTGTAGAGTCCTATTTAAATTAAAATAGGGTTTTAAACCTTTCCAAACTCTAAAACAAAAATATGAGATTAGAGAAGTTTTTTTAATAAATAAAAATAACTATTTTTTTAAAAAAAATATATATAATATAAAATCATAAAATATTCGGGTATTACACTGTTAATATGTCGAGTTACTCAGGCAACACCCAAAGCCGAAAGACGCTTGACGGAGGCCGAAATACAAGAACGGAGGGCGAAAAAACTTTGTTTCCGGTGCAACAAAAAATTGGGTCTGGGTCATCAGTGCAAAAGGAAGAAGATGAGTGTGTTATTAGTGTATGGGGAGGACGAGGAGGCGGTGGAAGAAGAAGTGGAGGACGGTGGTGACACGGTTGCGGAGGTATCACTATGCTCTGTAATTGGAATTTCGAATCCCAAAACCATGAAATTAAGAGAAGAATTGGCAGGAGGCGAGGTGGTGGTAATGATCGACCCCGACACCACCCATAACTTCCTTGCGGAAGAGGTGGTGCGTGAGAGGGCAATTCCGATGACGAGAGGGGGCGAATTTTAGAGAAATTAGGAGCGGTAACCACCAATTGGAAATCGCATATCATGAAGTTTCGGGTGGGAGGAATGACACTTACCGGCGACCCTTTGCTCGAGGCAGCACAAGTCAGCTTGAAGGTGATGATACGGAGCTTGTGTAAGGAAGGGCAAGGGATAATGATGGAGATGAGTAGGCCGGAGAAAGAAGGGACAGAACAAGATAAGGCACCAGCACCCCCCGAATTTTCCGACCGAGCTACTGCTTGAATATCAGGCTGTTTTTGAGATGTCGGCTGGCTGCCACCACCAGAACAATGTTCTAAAAAACGGCAGTAGTGTACGACCATATTGATAACCCCAAGCACAAAAAGATGAGATTAAAAAGTTGATTCAAGGGATGTTGCAAGCTGGGATCATCCAATCCTTAACAAGTCCTTTCTCTAGCCCGGTAATTCTTGTGAAGAAGAAAGACGGTTCTTGGAGGTATTGTGTCGATTATAGGGTTTTGACCAATTAAATTATTTCCAATTCTGGTGGTAGATGAGTTGCTTGATGAGCTACATGGGGCTAAATGGTTCTCAAAGTTGGATTTGAAACTCGGATATCACCGAATTACGGTGAGACCGGAAGATGTCCATAATACGGCATTCTGTACTCACGAAGGGCAATATTTATTCCTGTTATGCCTTTTGGCTTTACAAATGCACCAGCGACTTTCCAATCCCTCATGGACGAAGTATTCAAATCGTACTTGAGGAAGTTCGTCTTGGTGTTCTTCGATGACATTCTTGTGTGTAGTAAGGAGGAGGGAGAGCACAAAGAACATGTGAAGATAGTGTTGGAGCAATTGTCGAAGCATAAATTGTATGCGAACCTAAAGAAGTGAGAATTTGGGAGGAGGGAAGTAGCATACTTGGGTCACGTGATTTTGGAAGAAGGGGTAGCCATGGACATGGATAAGGTGAAGGCAATTGTGGAGTGGGAAGAGCCCAAAAATTTAAGGGAATTGCGTGGGTTCCTTGGGCTAACCGGGTATTATCGAAAGTTCATGGCTAACTATGCTCAAATCGCCGGACCACTCACCTCACAAATGAAGAAAGATAGTTTTAGCATTTTCAGCCCTCAAAACAGCTAGGACAACCGCCCCGGTGTTAGAATGCCGGATTTTCAGCTTGAATTCGTGGTGGAGACGGATGCTTCGGGTTTTGGGCTTGGTGCCGTGTTGATGCAACAAAGGAGGCCCGTAGCTTACTATAGTAAGTTTTGGAGTGAGGAATCAAGCAATGTCTATCTATGAGAAGGAATTAATGGCTATTAGTTTAGCGGTGACCAAGTGGCGGCATTATCTTTTAGGGAGGCATTTCGTGGTTAGGATCGACCAACAAAGCCTAAGGTTCCTAACCCAACAAAGAGAGGTGGGAAGTGAGTATCAATGGTGTATGAGAAGGTTGATGGGTATGGATTTTGAGATCCAACATAAATCCGGTCCATCCAATAGAGTGGCCAACGCACTCTCTCATAAGGGCAGCGCCACTGTACAATTTGGGGCCTTAATTTCCGCTCAAGTAGTGGATTGGGCCGAGCTTGAGAAGGAATTGGAGGGGGATACTTGGTTGGATGGGCTACGGTAGTCATTGGAGATGGTGGTTGGGTGATGTACAAGAGCAGGATAGTTCTTCCCAAAAATTCGAAATTTATTCCCATACTTCTTTGGGAATACCATGATACTCCAACAGGGGGCCATGAAGGGGAAGTAAAAACCTACTTGCGGCTGGCAGGAGGGTGGTTTTGGTCAGGTATGGGGGAGTATGTGCGACAATGCACGGTCTAGAGTAAGCCTTCACAGCAGGCAAGCGCGGGTTTATTGCAGCCACTCCCTATTCCGGAAGTGATTTGGGACGATATCACCATGGATTTTATCGAGGGACTACCACTCTCGAAGTGGGTGAACTCAATTCCGATTGCAGTGGATAGGCTGTCTAAGTACAGTCATTTTTTGGGGTTGAAACACCCGTTTAATGCTCTCAAAGTGGGTGACATATTTGTGCGTGAAGTGGTTCGCTTACATGAATTTCCTTCATCCATAGTTTCGGATCGAGACAAGGTGTTTATGAGTATATTTTGGAAGGAGCTTTATTGACTCCAAGGCACCAATCTCAAGAGGACTACCGCATACCACCCACAAACAGATGGTCAAACGGAAGTGGTGAACAAATGCTTGGAAACTTACCTCCAGTGTTTCGTGGCATGCCAACCGAAAACTTGGGCTTAATGGCTCCCATGGGCATAGTACTCTTATAATACCTCCCCTCACACTACTACCAATATGACACCTTTCAAAGTTGTCTATGGTAGGAACATCCTTCCACCTTGAGGACAAGGTGAATGTCCGGGAGGGGAGTGATGCAATGGAACGAGTCAAAGCACACCAACCGCCACCAATCAAGGTGTACGAGAGGAGACACAAACAAAACAGCAAGGGACAGGAAGGGCAGCAAGGGAATCAAGAAGAAGACAAAGAATTTTAATGTGCCACTAAGCATTGTGGTAAAGGGTATTCTGCCAGAACAAGACAAAGAAGTTTAATGCAATAGTACCTAGTTAGGGAGAGCTTGGTATATAAGAATGAACAATCAGAGAATGTTATGTGATTTTTTGAAGTGATTGTAGCCTAGCAGTAGTTTACTCTCTAGAAGTAGTGTAGCCCTAAAGCAATCTTCTTGTAGCCGTTATCTTCAAATCATCCTTAGTCAAATACTTAAGCTTTCTCTTATTTCCATCTTCTTTATCTTGCTGTTACTCTGTGAATTGGGTCCATATTATCCTCCCTACATTTCGAAGTAGAAAATTAATTATCCTAGAGTTTAATATACATATTATAAGTAATATATGCCTTCGGTCAAAACTGACTTTTAATGGGTTTTGGACTTGACCCAAATGGAAATTGGAAATTTTATTTCTCAGACCTAAGACTGATCGGTTCTCTTCGATCTGGTCTGTTTCGGTCTATTTTTCCATTTTGGACAGGCTTTTGAACACCCCTATCTTGACGCATAACCACATGACTAAATCACCCATACAACTTTGTATAGATCTTAGCATCTAAATAGCTACCCTTAAATTTGATCTTAGTATTACCCTACCATTCCTAACGGTGAAGCTTGCAAAGTAGTCCATTTCTAAGTTTATTTTTCTCAGTATTGAGAAATATTGCTGTCAATAATGATTACATGCGGACAATGTAGGAAATAGTAGGAATTGCTGCTTGGCTATTAGTCCTTCACACTTCCAGCTTTAAATTTTATTAACACTGATTTTGGTTTGTATGGAGCTATAGTTATGTAAGATCTTTTCTGTTATTGGAGTCAAGATTTAGTAACTCTGTCTTCTCCAAATTTGTGGATTTTTGTGTGATCTTGCGTGTTGATTGTTTTTATCATTCAACAATTTTCTTACCTAAAAAGATTTTTATTTTTTCCTGAAAAGCATGTTTGGCAAAAGGTTGTGTTTACCTCTTTATGCAAATGGTTTCTTAATATAACATGATTAGATGTAAGCAAAGAAAATGTTATGTTTAACTCTTAATTATCTAATGAATTTGTAGTAGGTTCTTTATGTTGGAGATCACATCTATGGTGACATATTACGCAGTAAAAAGGTTCTGGGTAAGATTTTTTTTCCCCCTAGTGTTTTGATTCCTCTCTCTTTCTTTCTTTCTTTCTTTTTTTTTTTTTCAACAAGTGATGAATTCTCTCATTACTTGTTGAATAGTTGTCTTGCCCTTCCCTGCCAATGAAATAAAGGGTCAAAATGAATGAGAGACTTGAAGCCTCATTTCTGGCGTATATGTTTCTACATTGTTGTAAAAAACATCACTTCATAGTGAAGCTGAGAGAAGTTTTGATTGGGAAGTTACAAATCTAGATGGCAATGAAAGATTTTTTTTATTGTCCAATCAATGTTTCTATCTTTGAAATCTCTTTAAATATAGCTGTAGGGGATGGTGTGTCTTATATAATAAAAAACTATACAGCTTTGTATTTTTATTTCATCTATAGTAGGACATAATTGAATTATTGAATTTTTTGGAAATGTTGCTGGTTACTATACTTTAATAGATTTGGGAAGATCAGAAAATTGCATCTAATGTAATATATATTAGTTTAACAAATTTATTGTTCTGCAATGCAATTTTTTTCTCATTTATTCTTTCATTTCTTTGTCTTAATAGGGTGGAGAACTATGCTTGTTGTTCCCGAACTTGAGAGAGAAGTTGAGCTTCTCTGGCAACTGAGGGAATCTCGGAAGGTATGCAGCTAATAAACTTAATTCATTTTCTTTCCTATAGACATTTAAAATAGTTCCATCAAGTTGCTATTCGTAAATTGTAAATAGTTTGATAGTTGTTGATTCAATTGGATCTTTGAAGCTGGGCTTAAGTTAGTTTAACTTGCCGTTGATTTTTCTACAATTGTATTTATTTATTTATTATTACTTCGTATTTTTTTGTTTGTTTAAATGTTGTAGTGATGGTTTGTGACTTTAATCATATAGTGACACTTAAGAGTGTTGCCAAATTACAATAAATAACATAGGGGATCTGTATAAAACTATTTGTGTTGACAAATACATTGTTAAGATTAATGCTCAACAATGATTTGGCATCTTATTGAAGACAGTGCACTGATTTTGGTCACTGTTATGTACTATCTCCAGTTCATTGGTTAAAAAGTGTGAGGTGTACCAAAGTGAAAAAGGATCCTAGACCATAGGTGCACGGTAATATCTTGCTCCTTGTTGACACAAGGGGGATATTGTCTCTTAAATCAATAGTGATAGGTGCACCTGACATGGCATTTCCACGACTTCAATGTAGCCTTAAGTACTAATACATTACGCAAGCTCCAATAAGTGGAGGAAGTCTTCTTTGCTTTTAGTTTTTTTTTTTTTTTTTAGTTTTTTTATTGGATTGTACGAGACTTTGCTTGTTTCTGCCCCCGCTTCTTTCCCGGACTTCAAAAAACGAAAATCTTGCATTTCATTTATTGAGCAGTCTCAAATACCCTTTTGTAGAAGCGCTGGTCCCCTTTGGTCAAGTTGAAAAGGCCCCATATAAAGTACGACTGATACTTCAAAATAAATGCAGTTACTAAAGAATATAAAAAGGAAAACAGAAGGGGGAAGGGGCTTATTTCCTCATTAATCAGATAGCATTGTAGTAGTGGAGACCTCACCTAACCCATAGTAAGAGAAGATGAGATAAATATGTTTGAAGGCAGAAATCTGTAAAGCCACTCTTTTACAGTTTGAAAAGACATATAAAACAATAAAGGGGCTGCTGCCTGAAGATTGAAGAGGAAGGAAGGTAATGAAGAGGTAAAAAAAAGTTGCTGAGCGAGTCAAAGGTTAGAGAGAACAAAGTGGTTTGACGTGTGTGATTCGCGGATGGATGGATCAGGTTGCAGTGAAGTGTTGTAGGAGCATTATAAAAACGCTGATCTACTAGGGCATCATATCTAATTATAAACTGCAAAAAGTGTAACCTGCAAATAACTGAGCTCTAAATAACTGTATGGATTAATTTCTACTAATCCTTTCTAGCATTTGTACACATCCATCACACCATTTGTATTTCCCCACATTCATCTTATGAATGTGATAATGTTTCATAACCCAGCAAGGAGATCTTCCTTATCATGTGGTAGAATATTCCCTTCAATTTATGAGAATGCCAAAATCACATAGGAGTCCCATAGCATTCTTCCACTTTTGCCACTCCGTTTTAATTTTATGATTCATGTCTCCCTATTATCTTTTTGAATAAGTGATCATCGATAGTAGAAGAATTGTACAATACTCCCATTCAAGGAGATCTTCCTGGTCTTCTTAAATCTAATTTGTTAAACTTACAATCCAAATATTTTGTATTACGTCCTAAACTAAGACCTTGAACTCCATAGTTTGTCGGGACAATTCCAACATGTTTTCCATGCCTTCTTTTGTCTCATCATTTAACACAATATCTTCCTTTCGCCTCATCATTCAACCCATTATTTCTGTAAACATCATGCACCATGGTATCTTGTAATTGATCTCGTTAATTCCTCAATGTACTCCAATTGTAATAGAAAAGTCTTTTGTCTTCCTAATCCTAACACCTGACACTCATGCTAACTCCCCCATAATTATCTCTAATTCTTCGTGATGTTAACATATTCTACGAAACACCTTTCCTTATTGATGCTCACCCTAGTACTTCTCTTGGCACGACATGATATGCTTTCTCCTAATCAATGAGAACAATATGTAAGCCCTTATTCTGATAGTTTTCATTAGTTGTCCCATAAGATGGTTTGCCTCTACACTTGATCTTCCTAGCATAAACCAAAATGGTTTTTTTGGATCTTCATACTCCTCCATAAAACTTTATGTTTCTTACTCCAACGTTTTAACCACTCCTTTAAAACTTTCTTGAATTTTATCCTTGATTTTCTTTTTAAAACTCCCTTAATTTTTCTTAAATGCTCTTCTTTTTTTCACTTTACTCACCTTTTTCATATGCTTTCAACTAATTATCTTGTTATGCCCCTTTCTTTATATCGTATGGTTCCTTATGACAGTTTATGTTAACCGACCCCAAATCATTTTTGGACTAAGACTTTGTTGTTGTTGTATACTCCCTAACTTTTTATTCATTTTCTCACTCACACAATTTAAAAAATGACTCATTAGTTTGATCCCTCGATAGTTTGCACAAAATTGGACGTCACCTTTGTTCTTATACAAAGGGATTAAAGTACATTCTTTCCACCATACTAACATCTTGTTACTTCTATTACTCTTGTTGAAGATTGTATTCAACTATTCAATTCCCCTCTCTCCCAAACTTCCCCATACCTTGATAGGAATGTCATCAAACTCGATGATTTCTTCTTCCCATCTTCTTTAGCGCCATTTTGACTTGTTCCTTTTGAATTCTCCGTATAAACTCTTGATTTATCATGTCAATGAAGATACTATCTCAAATATCCAACTCTTGATCACCATTGAATAGGTTATCAAAGAAAGTTTTCCACCTATCCTTCATCTTCTTATCTTGGACTAGAATTATTTTGTTGACATCCTTCAAATGTAGCAATTTTTTTCACTCAAGATTCAATGTTCTAGGAATTTAAGAGTGACATACTCTTCTAGAAGAAATTGATGTTCAATGTGTAATTGAATTTATTTAAACATGCAATTAAAACATTTTATCAAAAAAAAAAAAAAAAAAATGCAATCAGTGCTTCAGTTTTTAAGTGAACTTGTTAAATCTTAAATTGTTTTTACCATCTAATTTGATAGTTTTATGATATATAACTCAGTATTTTTTATTTTATTTTCAAAATCTGAATTTTATTTTGGATCATGAATTAAGGGCCCAATTTTACAAAATCGCATAGGGCCCTTACTATCTTTGCCCCGCTCTTGCTCGTGTGCCTCTTTGAATGTGCCTCGCCTAGAGCAAAAAAGCCATTATACCCTTATCACCTAGGACCTAAGGCGCACCTTTTCATACACTTGTATAACTGTCAGCACAAGAAATGTTTTAGGTTAATGGATAAATATTCTTGCGCTAAAATGTCTACATATGTCTTAAGAGGGTAGGATGTCAGTGATGTTTGGTTTGTCATATAGTATAATACTTCATTTTTTCAATCCTTCTCTAGCTTTTGATCCTTAGCTGCTCAATCTTGGCCACTTCATGATGCTGGAATTTTTTGTCTCAGCTGCTTTTTAGGCCCATGATCATATCTATCATGGATATACACCTTACGATGTATTCTTTGAGGAAAAGATTAAACTAATTTTATTGGAAAGGCAACCTTTACATTATTCCATGTTATGTTGTTATTAGTGGCATATGCAGAATCATAGATTCATAATTTATTTCTGGTGCAGTTCATGCTCTACTAAAGAGGCCTTCTCTCCATGCCTTTGACTAAGCTACTGCAATGTAAATCTAGCTGTTGGCTTGACAATATATTAAGCATTTACCAGTTTCATGATCTCATAGCTAGAAAGGGGCTTGTGGATTATATTACCTCAATTCCAGTAACTGTTAAGAATAAAATTTGTTTTTTAGTGACAACCAAATGAAAAAAATTAAAGGGTTAGCTACCAATTAAACAGGATCATTGTAAACATAAGATGACACAAATAAGCTATCATTACCAGCTTTAATTTAGATGGAGATCAAAGTACTGGGGGACGCATTCAAAAGTGGAGTCCTTCAATCTTATGTATTAGCATTTATTTTGTGTCTCATCGCCATTTAGAATAAGTCTTCTGATTTTATGCAAGTGGTGGTAGCTATTATATATTTATATTTTTTATTTTGTGATGTCAAACTCAAGGACGTAATATAGTCAGAGGTATTATTGGTAGAACCTTGATCAGTGTTAGATTTTTTGTCTCATGTTTCTTTTTTCTATTTCTTATCTGTTTTATGATTGGCAGCAACTCCAAGGATTGAGGTGTGATCGTGATCATATTGAAGACAAACTCCATCATGCAAAGTGGTCTCTCAAGTAAGCAGTAGTTGTGATGTTTAGCATTGTAAACTTTTGTCGATGCAAGTCATGTAAGTAGTAATTGTTGTGTAGTACCTACATCTGGAATTAATTGAAAAACTGAGAACTTGGTTTGAGCTAGTAATTGACAACTAAATTTGGGCAGTGGTATAAACAAAAAACTCATTAAAGTAAAGAGTTTATTTTGCCTGGCTTTTATGCTATCCTTCTTTATAATACTGATTATCATTTTGCCATTTGTTATCATTAGTTCATTACATCTCCAAGAAAATACTATCGAAAAAAAATTTCACTTTGGTCTTTTGAGGTTTGTCATAATTCAAATTCGGTGCCCTATGTTTTCAGCTTACACTCTTTTCATATTGGTGTCCTGATGTGTAAATATATTTGTCACTGTTGTGTATTTAAGCACTTCTATTTCTTGTGGAAATTGTTTTGCATGTTGATGTTTCTGTCACCAATAAACTATTGAAGGTGATTGACTCATTTTTCAAACAAGCCACTTAATGGAGTCAACTGTGTGGGCGCTAAAGTAAATAATATAAAGTCAAAGCACCAACATGGATTCATGCCACATCTCTTAACTTACCTAGTTTTTTTTGGCTTCTTTATAGGCTAAGGTGTTCGGGGCTTTCCTGAATTATTAAATAGGGAGATGCGAAGGAATTGGGAAAATAGCCACTAATTTGTAGATGTGTGTTTATTTTTACCCCTGTTTCCCTATGAGAATATCATGCTCTCTTGTTATTTTAATTTATTTTATTTTATTTATTTATTTATTTATTTATTTATTTATTTATTTAATTTTTGGTGATTTTGTTCAGTTAAATATTTCTTGTCATTGAAAAGCAAGAAGGTGTTACAATCAGACTGCTTAGTTTGCAGCATATTTAGTGGACTGTGCTTGCTGCATGATATGTTTATCTTGCATGTAGTTGGGTTATATTGTTTATATGCACTTCTTCATTGATTGTGTTTCCAGTAATATCTTTTTTCTTTTTTATGCTAGAGAACATGTTTTTTTTCTTAAAAAAATTATTTTATTTAACTTTATTTTTGGAAAGAGAGAGAGTGGGGGGGGGGGGGGGGGGGGAGGAATCTATGTACTCTTAGTCTGCATCCTTTATTTCTGTTGATACAATTTTCATTTATGCAGATTTGAGGATCTTGAAGTTGATCAGAAGCAAAAATTATTGTCTGCCATTGACAGTTTGGAGGTATATATGCAAATTGTTCTTATTTACTATTGACCTATTGTGACTGTTGGTGCCTCTATAGATGAAATTACATTTATAACGGTTCTTCAGTCTATCATTTACTTCGTGTATTTTAAATTGAATTTAATATGTGAAAACATTCTGGTATATTTAAATGTTGCTGATCATTTTAATCACCCCCTGGTGAAATCATGTGGACATTATTTGTTCATGACATTTTTTGCTTACAGAATTTCAGGTTAAGAAGTTTAGATATTGTCTGAAAACATTTTAGTGCATCAACGTACTACAAGTATTTTATTTTGGAAAATTAGATCGTTGTCTTCTTTCTTCTATACTTAGTGCATAAAAGTACTTTATTGTGACTCCTTTCTGACCATATTATATTGGCTTTAATTGTTAGTCACAAAGAGAGCAGGTTCGACTTGATCATCAACAGATCCTCTGTAAAAGCCACCAAAAGGTTAGATGGTTTCTTTGATACCCATCTTTTTTTTGGTCGGCATTTCAGACTTTGATGTAAAGTCTTTTTTTTCTCTTGCGTGAAAATTTTCGAAGTTCTTCCGTTGGATGGTTAGTTAATTACTTTCCTACAAACATTTAGGCCTTTGGGAATTATTAAATGACTGTGTGACATGCATATATGAAATCAAGTTAAATTGGGACATAGTTGCAAATAAATAAATGTATTGATTGCTTATGCAAAGGGTCTCTTGTAAAATCTCTATGTTGTTGTTTATGAAGTGCTGACCCATGGTTTCACTATGTTTTTAGCCTTTTCACAATTTTTTTTTTGTTAATTATCAGTTTCACAAGGTCTGGGGACAACTTATGAAAACTGGTTATCAGAATTCTCGCTTTGCACACCAGGTAAGCTAGAATTAATAATTTAGGTCATTTTCCATGCTTTATAGCTCTTTGTTCAGTCCATGTCATGATCCAATGGTGCTGTGTGGTTTCTAATCACACTGCATTATACATTCTATATGCTGTCACTTTACTTTGCCTGACACAATCTGTTATTTATGCTTTTTAACTTTATAATACGTTATTTCTTACTGTGCTGTCTTTTTACTTGCACCTGACAGAATCTGTTATTAAAGCTGTTTGACCTTTTATTCGTTAAATCTCACTGCTAGATACTAGCTAAAAACAGAGTAATGCAGGAATAAAATTACAGAAGAATAGTCAAGCAGGGGATATTTGTATTGATGATCAAGATAACCACACAATACAATTACTCTTCATTTGAGAGGAATAGTATCGCTCCGAAAGTGTTTACTCAAGAATATTTTGCATAACCCCCTCCTCAAGCCAACCATTACTTAAATACAATTATCCTCAACAAACTAACTGATTTTAGGGAATAACAAAAAGAAGTACAAAACTGCCCTCAAGGCTAACAAACTTCTAACAGAATGTTCCAGCTCATTCTTCCAGCTCATTCCCCAGCTGAATTAGTTCTCCTTCGAGCATAGGTGAACTGTATAGCAGGCCTGGGCTTAGTCTTGGGCTGATTCCTTGCAATACCCCCTTCCCAAAGATTCACCTTGTCCTCAAGGTGGAAGTGGGGAAATCTGCAATCAATCTCAGTGAAATCCTCCCAGGTAGCTTCCCAATCTGGCAGCCCCTTCCAGTGAATGAGCACCTCAGTAGCAGCTTGAGTGGTGCGCACCCCAAGCACTGCTTCTGGCTCAGTGTCAAGCACTAAGTCAGAGGTGAGCTGAACAGGCAAAGGGGAAGCCTGCTGCCCAACTCCTAAGGCCTTCTTGAGTTGGGAAATATGAAAAACGGGATGAATCCGAGCTGTAGCAGGGAGCTCCAGCTTGTATGCTACCTCACCAATCCTTTGTACCACAGGATAGGGTCCATAGTAGCGTGGAGAGAGCTTTTCATTCTTCCTTTTGGCCAAAGACTGTTGTCTATAAGGCCTGGGTTTAACATAAATCAAGTCACCAACCAAAAATGAACCATCCCTTCTGCTCATATTTTCATGCTGCCTCATATAAACCTGAGCCTTTGTGAGGTGAAACTTGAGGTCATCCAAGATAGCATCCCTCTCCAACAATTGGTCCTCCAAGGAAGAAACGTTGGTGCTGCCAGGCGTGAAACGCAACAGATGGGGTGGATCCCTCCCATAGACAGCCTTGAATGGAGAACATTTGGTGGCAGAGTGAAAGGCAGTATTGTAACAATACTCTGCCCAAGGCAGCCAGGTAGCCCAAGTCCTAGGTTGCCCATTCACAAAGCAACGCAAGTAAGACTCCACACCTTTGTTCACAACTTCAGCTTGGCCATCCAACTCCGGGTGATAAGTACTCCTTCTCAACTGTGTGCCTTGAAGCTTGAATAATTCCGACCAGAAAATGCTCAAGAACACTTTGTCCCTATCAGAGACAATTGAGGATGGAATGCCATGAAGACGAACTATTTCTTTGGAGAAGCTTTGAGCCACGGTCTGAGCAGAGAATGGGTGCTTTAGGGGAATGAAGTGACCATATTTAGAGAGCCTATCCACCACCACGAGTATTGAATCCCAACCTAAGGATTTGGGTAATCCCTCGATGAAATCCTTGGAGATGTCCTCCCAAATCTTGTTTGGGATTGGCAATGGTTGGAGTAACCCGAGAGGAGAAAGAGTGGGAGTTTTATTTTGTTGGCAAACATGGCAGCGTTTGACATACTCCGTGACATCCCTCCTCATGCCTTCCCAATACCATTCCCCTGCCAACCTTTGATAAGTTTTTATGTCCACCAACTGGGGAGTCATGGTATTCCCTGAGAAAAAGAGTAATGAGCTCAGATTGCTTAGGGACAACCACTCTGCCTTTATACTTTAGAATTCCATTTTCCAGGGTAAACCACTTGGGAACATCTTCCCCCTTTTGCATTTGAGCAATCAGTTTCTGCAAAGCCTGGTCCTTGCTAATAAACCCCTGTACAAACTCCCATTCACAGGTAGAGATTAAGGCAGAATATTCTGGTGAGAATTGGCGTGATAACGCATCAGCCACTTTGCTGCAAGGACCGGGCTTGTAATGGATTTCAAATGTATATCCCAACAACTTACCCACTTTTGATATGCCTGCCAACCTCCCTCTGCTCCAACAGAAACTTCAAACTTCTTTGATCAGTCCAAACCACAAATTGCCGTCCCAAGAGATAATGTCTCCATTTCTCAATGGCAAACACGATCGCCATGAGCTCTTTCTCATAGATGGGCTTTTCCCTAGCACGTATTCCCAATATTTTACTAAAGTAAGCAATCGGGTGAGCTTCTTGCAGCAACACAGCTCCTAAACCTAAACCATGGCCTGATGCATCGGTCTCCACAATAAAAGGCCGAGAAAAATCTGGCATAGCTAAGATGGGTGCTCGAGTCATAGCTTCTTTCAAAGACTCATACGCCTTAGTAGCCTCTGCTGTCCAACCCCAACAGTCCTTCCGAAGTTGAATAGTCAAAGGCCAAGCAATCAAAGCATAATTCTGAATAAACTTTCTACAATACCCTGTGAGCCCTAAAAACCCACGTAGCTCCTTGAGACTTTGAGGAACAGGCCACTCTAGCATTGTTTGGACTTTTGTTGCATCAACCTCTACTCCTTCTGCCGAAATGACATGACCCAGATAGGCCACTCTAGCCTTTCCAATCTCACACTTCTTCAGGTTAGCATAGAGTTGGTGTGAAGCCAAAGTGGACAAAACTTGCTGCAAATGGCTTTGATGTTCTGCCATAGTCTTGCTGTAAACCAAGATGTCGTCAAAAAAAACCAAGACAAATTTCCAGAGAAACGGCCTAAATACTTCATTCATCAAAGGTGGCAGGGGCGTTAGTGAGGCCGAACGGCATCACTAAGAACTCATAGTGACCATCGTGGGTTCGGAAGGCGGTTTTATGAACGTCCGCTTCCCTAACCCGAATCTAATGGTAACCAGATTTAAGGTCCAATTTAGTGAACACAGTTGCTCCAAACAATTCATCCAACAGTTCATCAATTACAGGTATGGGAAATTTATCAGGAACAGTTTCTTTATTCAAGGCACGGTAATCAACACGGAAACGCCACGGTCCATCCTTTTTTTTTACTAAGAGTATAGGACTAGAAAAAGCACTAGTTGAGGGCTGGATGATACCTGCACTAAGCATGTCCTTCACCAATTTTTCGATCTCATCTTCTGGTACTGTGGATATTTGTAAGGACGAACACTGACTGGGTTTGCTCCACTCTTCAAGGTGATGGAGTGTTCGGTGAGCAAGGGCCTGGGAGCAGCTGGTGGCTGTGGTACCTCCTCTCCCGCGTTCTCCAGGTGATTAAACGCCATGACCAGCTTTCTGAATGGTTTTCACCATTGCTTTTAATATGATACTGGAGCATCCCAACTGAGGATCACCCCTTAAAGTCACTGAGTTGCCACCAACTTGGAATCGCAACGTTTGGGTCTTCCAATTCGAAGAAATTGTCCCCAATTTTTCAAGCCATTGAACACCCAATATCACATCAGAATTCCCCAAGGGAAGAACAAGAAAAGCCTCCATGATCATGAGTCCTTGCAGCTCCAACAACACCACAACACATACCCCTTCTCCTTGTACGACTGCCCCTGTCCAGCGTGACACCAAAACTCCTGGACTCAGTAATAGGCAGCTGTAAATGATTCGTTGCCACCGTCGAAATGAAATTATGGGTCGCCCCCGGGTCCACCATGACAATTACCTTCCCTCCATTAATCATCCCTTCCATACGCATGGTCTTTGGGCTAGTGATGCCCATGACCGAACAAAGGGAAACCCCAGGTGGGGTGGGGTGTCCGTCTGTAGCACGAGAGGTGGTGGTGTGATGGGCTCAATCTCAGCGGCGGCGAGCTCACCAGAACTACCGTCACCTTCTTCCTCCTCTCCGTCTCCCACCGTGAGCAGGACGCTCAACTCGCGACGCCGACAGCGGTGATTGAGGTGCCACTTCTCATCACAACGGAAACACAACCCTTGTTCCCTTTTCTGTTGAACTTCCTTCTCCGTCAGCCGCCTTATATCGCCGATGGGTTTGGAGAATTGATGGGTGAGTCGATTTTGTGAGTTCTGGGTAGTGGAATGTAGGTTTGGGTTTGTATTTTGGTTTGGGGATGTGTTTTGGTTCGGGTTATTTGGGTAGTGTGTTTGTGGGTTGGATCTGTAAGTCGGGTTTGGGGTTCTCAAGCTTCCAGTGGGCCTGGGCTTTGGGCTGAACTTCAGCTTTTCATCAATCCTCATGGATAACTCCATGGCATGATCCAAGGTAACCGGATCTAGGATCCGAACTTCAACCTGATCTCCTCCCATTTATATACTGACAGCACCCCCTCTATCGGAGCTAACAGCTCAATGAATCGGCGTCTATAATCGGCCATCGTGCCGGTTTGTTGATGAGCGAGCCACTGCTCGTGAAGTATGCCGGTGGCGGTGGTGCGAAATCGACGGAGGATGAGTTCCTTCAAGTCTTCCCAATTAAGCAAGGGCTGACGTCGGTGCTCCCACTGGTACCACAGTAGGGCGTCGCCGTCGAGCGCAACCACCTGGATTCGTGCCATAGAAGAATCTCTCGGCGTTTAATCGGTAAAAATGGAAGAATCTCTCGGCTCGGAGGATCCAACCATCTGGATTCGTGCCATCAAATGGGGGTAAATCGAGTTTTCTCAGCTTCCAGTTCGATTGCCCACCATCACCATAATCTTGTCGTGGTTGTGAGCCGGCGAAAGGATTATCCCACCCATAAGGTGGTCCATTCCCCATAGAAGAGCGGTTTTCCGACCGATTCTTCTCCGCTCCGGCAGTAAACTGAGCAGTAAGGTCAGCTTTGAATGCTTCCAAAGCCTCTGTAATCTCCTGGGCTACACTACCAGGAACTCCGGCAAATCTCTTGCTCCAGCAAGTCTAAGCGCTGCGCATGGGTCAAACGAGCCATCTTCTTCTCCGGCGAGGATCGAGACTGCTCTGATACCAATTTGCTAGATACTAGCTAAAAACAGAGTAATGCAGGAATAAAATTACAGAAGAATAGTCAAGCAGGGGATATTTGCATCGATGATCAAGATAACCACACAATACAATTACTCTTCATTCGAGAGGAAGAGTATCTCTCCAAAAGTGTTTACTCAAGAATGTTTTGCATAACCCCCTCCTCAAGCCAACCATTACTTAAATACAATTAGCCTCAACAAACTAACTGATTTTAGGGAATAACAAAAAGAAGTACAAAACTGCCCTCAAGGCTAACAAACTTCTAACAGAATGTTCCAGCTCATTCTTCCAGCTCATTCCCCAGCTGAATTAGTTCTCCTTCGAGCATAGGTGAACCGTATAGCAGGCCTGGGCTTAGTCTTGGGCTGATTCCTTGCACTCACATAGGGCTCTTGTCATTCAATTTAGTCGCTACGAATATTTGGAAACTCCCATTTGATTGTGTGATAACATATAATCAGGAAGCACTCAAGTGGAGGCCTAATAATTTGGCAAAATAATTTATCTGAATAAAGATATTGCAATAGATATAGATGTTGATGTTGATTTATATCACTCAACTGAAGTAGGTATTGATGATCAAACAAATCCAAAATCAGGGCAATGGAAGTAGCGGAGTTTAGGTGCTCCGACCTATCAAAACCTACATTCAGGATTAAGTCCTCATTTAATAAAGTGGGGGTACGGAGAGGGAGTTGCTTGTGGTGTTGTGCCTCTGGTCATACCCCATGATATTGGTACCATAAGGATATTCATACCAAATCGTGCCCTAGAGAATCTGAAGGATGAAATATGGAAAGGAAGGTATTGTAGGGAGTAAAGCCATAGCCCATAGAGAAAGGTACTTGCCATACTCATTGGGTAGACACAGGGCAGCATTGTGTTGAGGGCATGAGTAATCTCACCTGGCTAGGACAATGTTTGTGGCTCGATGCAAGTGCTAGTGGATAAGTTTTGTTTTGATTCTTTGCTGAAGATAATGATGTATTTTGTTGGACCTATTTTTGGAAGTGTACCCACAACATTTAGGTTCGAACACTGACATTTTTGTTTATTTTTGCAGGTTGAGAGATTTGCCTGTCTTTACACCAGTCAAGTAACAAACTTGAGCTTATACTCTCCTGATAAATACTACAGACCGAGTGAAGATTTCATGCCTCATGAGTTCGACATCCTTGCCTTGTCAGGAAAATGTTCTTTGGAAGTAAAATAGCAATGACATCTCAATCTGTATATCAATTGGGCATTACATTCAATTTATCCTCTCTGCTCCTCACCTGCTTTGGTGATTGTCAAATCATTCAAATGTATATAGCCTTTGGTTACTGAATATCATTCTTACATAAAATTGTGCATAACTGTGCCACACATGTATGTCTATGAACATGTGAGCACTAATTTTCTTCTATCATTACAACAATTAGTGAGTACATATATTGCTAATCATATAGTAGTAGGTAATTCTCTAGTACTCTTGTTTAGTTGTTTGTAACTCATGATCCCTTGCCATGGGTAATCTTTTGATAAACCAGTTTGCTACGAGTCATAACCCCTTGCTGTGGGTGATTTTCTGATCTGCACCTGTCTTCAGGCTAACGTCCACATGCACCCAATAGTCTGCTGAAAGCAGCCGTATATTAGGATCACACAGAATAGGTATAGAACTGAAAAAGGGCATCTCACAAAGTAAATGGGAATGCTTAATGAACTGGAATAATCAATCAAAAGTTTTCTTGACAGAGGTCTGACCTGTCTGGTGCATATTAGATACACAAATTTAGTTGTTTTGCATGAGGTAATGGCCATTGAAGATAATTTTTTGGATTTAATCGAGAAATACCAGCAATTGCTGCCCCAAAACAGCATAAATTTCTGCCACTTTCTCTCAAATTCCTATTTCCTTCTTTGCGACTATTAATGCCATCACCGAAGCCTTCACCCATGGCCTATTTGCTAACTACTCACCGCCACCCCTGTAGTAGTGTTGCTTTTTGTTGCTCTTTTTTTTTTTTTTTTTTTTTTTTTTCCATGCTAGCTCATCCCTGTTTTATCTCCCTCCTTTACCATGGGTATCTATCTATTATACCTATCATAAAGATAATTCTTATTTGATTCATCTGGTTATAAAAGAAAAACTTTCTTTTCTATCCCAAGCAAATCTTTTACTTATGAAACAATTTACACTATATTAAACTTCAAATAATTTAACTTGAATAAATCATAGCGTAAGGGAATTTTATGCACTCAAACATAGTTTTATCAAAGCTAATATGAAAGCATGAACAAAATAAAGAGGGTCAAAAAGAGAAGGAGGAGAGAATAATTAATGGCTATCTATAGGAAATAATATAATCATGTAAAATTTTGTTAGATTTGATTTAATACTAATTTTTTAATAAATTTTGCATGCTAAATGGAGATGTACATTTAAGATTTTTGTATAGATCATAAAATGTTAAATGGGACAATATTTAAGTAATGAGAGACTATAAAGCAGTTTGGGATCATGAAAAGTCAAATGAAATAATGTTCAAGTGATAAGGAGAGTACAAACCAAAGTAGTGATAATTTTTAGCTAACTTTATTGCCATGCAGTTGATCGAATTACGGTAGAACCTAACATAATCAGCCATTAAACTCATCAGACACTGCAAAACTAGATCATACTTTGAGTCTTTGACAGGGGACATCCTATCTGCTAGCCAAAAGTAGTGAACAACAAAACATCAATCTAGTATTACCGTGAGTTACTTAAAAAAAATTTAGTTTACAAAAAACTTAAAATTGAGAGTATACTTTGTCTCAAGTCTCTCAGTCTCAATGCAATTCACACTGATTAATAATAACAATATTATTTGTATTAATAATAACCAAAATAAAAAGCGCTTTAAATATATACATTTAGACAAACCCCATTACTCCCTCCGTTTTTAAATACTTGCTCCACTTTCCTTTTTCCGGCTGTTTTTAAATACTTGTTCCATTTCCTTTTATGAAAAACTTTTACAATATTTAATTTATTTCTCACACTTCGTGGACCCAACATAATACTCTCTCCTTCTATTCTTCCACTACTTTTGCTTTTTACAATTTTTTATTTTTCAACTACCCCACTACCTTCATATTTTATTACTTTCTCCAATTTCTCCTAAAACTCCGCGTATGGAAAAATGGAGCAAGTATTTAAAAATGGAGGGAGCATTAGTTTACAAAAGACATACGAAGTAGTACTTAACTTTAGTAGAAATATAGCAAAGTAAGACTATTCGAACCTAATATATGAATTGGAAATTTAGTTTTGGTTTATTGCTCAGCTCTACCTTGTAGAGCTCATAAGTCATTCCAACAATCAAGAGTATGATAAGAAACGATCACACAAATGCAATAAAATGTAATTAGACATAGCTAACAGGGGCCAATTCAACTCTCGTTTACACTTGAGAATTACTAGTAGTACAATATGAGGAAAAGAAATTCCAGTATTCTGATTTCCTATACTAAAGTTTTTCAGTTAGCCTAACCATGAAAGAATTGACAGCAACTCTATCCAAGATTATCCATGATGATTCGAAGAGCTCGTGGAAGAATTCAGCACCAATTTCCTGGGCTGCATTCTTGAAAGCCATGCCAAATGCATTACCTTGTACTGCCCCAAGTCGAGGCTTCCCTGTCACCCCAACAATTAACACTTTATCTTGTTCTTGTGCTAGACAAGCACACAGAAGAGGCTTCATTCTTGCCCCTTTCTCTCTCAATGCATCCATCACAAAGTAGCAGAACTTAGTCAATGCTTGAGGATATCCTAATAGTTTGGTGTCTGCTGAATCTTCGAGTTTAACCCACCTGAATTTCCTCCCACTTCTTATGGAACCCTTTTTGGTTATAGCTGTACTTCCTTGTCTTAGAATAGCTCGTTGTACCTTTATTGCATTCTGCATTCCAAGCCTCAACTGATCCAAGTTATTCAATGACAGTGCATCATAAGCAACCCCAAACTGCTTAGAAGCACAAGAACCATCAAACCTGATGAACGATTCCAAAAGGGCAGTGACCCCATATACCACATCTGCAGCAGAAACCCTTGAGCTATACCCATGAAGCCGCATAAAACTTCTGTAATAGAAGTCAGTGAGCCCATATTCAGGCAAAAATCGCTCAAATTCATCTTTCATTTTCCGCTTAACATCAATATTCATGTACTGAAACTTCTGCTGGCAGTCGATAAGTGCAAACCCCATCCTAGCCAAGAGAAGCTTAATTTTCTTCATCCCATTGTCACTCCAAGTCTTCATCTTTGTGGCAATGTAAGAAGAACACAGCATTGAATCAAACAAATTCCACTCCCTCAACAACATCAACCTCGGCTCATCCTCATATGCAATCCTAGAAGACTCAGGAGCACGAATCTTTGTCCCATCTTTCAGAGTTACTGAGGTAACAGCATCCAAATTCCCAAGACTATTGATATGCTGCTCCAGCTCCATAACCCCTGCTTGGTACCTCTCAGTGGTCAACCTCTCATGTACAAACTGATCAGTTATCGACACACAAGCTAACCATAGCTGTTCATTCGTGTTTTTTCTCAAAGAATGCGACAAATCATACATCAAACACCCAGATGGCTTACCATGAAATGTACCCATCTGATAATACTGTCTTTTCAACTTCCTGAAAAGCTTATCTGGGTCAGCTTCTCCTTCATCCGAAACCCTCCTCTTCTTCCTATTCAACCCGGCCTCATCGCCATCTCTTGCCTCCTCATCTCTCTCACTATCGTTCTCGCTCTCCTCTTCATCACTCTCCTCCCCGACTTCATCATCACTATTCAAATCACTCACATTAGCCAACTGCCAGATATCGAAATCATAGGTCAAATCAGCCTGTTCCTCATCATCCTTAGTATAAAGCACAACCACCCTATCATTCCCATCACTCAAATTATGCAAATGAATAGGACGGTGACTATCCACAACAAAAACCTGAATCGATTGCGACAAACTCAACAACTTCCTCAAATCCCTATGACAACCCCAATTTATAAGCAACAACGTAAGAGGCGTATCAGGTGATAAGCTCAAACTAGGCTCCAAATACTTATGAATCTCTTCGAAAGACGATACCGGGTAACAAGCATACTGTATTGAATCCGATTCAAGTATATGAAAAACAATTTTTAGGGCACACAAAGAATCTACGTCTGAAGTAGAAGGAAAGATTAACAAAGGGGATGAAGCTGAAGCAGAATCAGAAAATTCTGGAGAATAATTCGACAATTGTAAAGCCGAATCCCTTAATTTTGAGTAAAATGCTTCAACCTTTTGCTCTCTAACCATGATTCACTTCAAATTTGTGGTTTCAATTCAATTCAAAGTGGGATTGAAATTAAAGATGAAATGAGCTCAGATATGAAAAATTAAAACTAGGGTTTTTTGGGGAAGTACCTGAAATTGATGGGTATTGAATAAAATTCCGGGAATTCGTTCGCCTTCTTGCTTGTTAGCTCTCCAGATTTGCAGAGAAGAGAGAGAAAAATGGAGGTGAGAGAATGGAAGAAATGAAAAAAGAAAGGAGTTATTGTGATTTTTGTGTAAAAGTTCGAAATTTGAAAAATGAAATGTTTTGAAAATTTTAAGATAGCGCGTAAAATGAAATTTAGCGGTATAGTGAAGTCACGTGACAGAACTATAAAAGACTGTCTTTTTGCGTGGACTTTATTTTAACTATTTTGTGTTAGACACTTAAACTCTATTTCCTTATGGCCTATCTGATTTACTGTACTGAAATGATTGAAGTTGAATTAAATTGAAGTGAGTAGAGATTAGTTGAATATTTTATGAGAGAAAGAAATTAGAAATAGAACTGATTGAAATTGAACGGAGCTGAACTGAACAGAAATTAAGATGAAGAGAATATGCCCATAAGCTTGTTTTTACTGAACTAAAATATTTTGTTGAATAGAAAGTATTTATATTATTATCTATGTAATATATTTCGTTCTTAAAAATAACTGATTTTATTGAATTAAACTCATTTCATTTTTACTGAACTAAACTTATTGTTACTTAAATAAAATTATTTTTATAAAATTGAAATTATTTATAATGAATATCATGTTTAAGGTGAAATGAACAGAGCCTCATGCACGGTTTGATAAGATACATTTTGATTTAGATTAATATTTTCATTAACTATTTTATAAATTAACACTATATTACCACTGTATTTAAATAAGTGAAAAGTTTTGATTGTTTGTACTATTCATCTAATACAATTTGACTAATGTATGTGATTTATATAAGAAATTGAGAATAAATATATTTTAGGCACTTGTATTTTTTCTAGAACTACCCTAAATATAGGGTCATCATTTGTGAACAACTACCCATTTTTTATTTGTTTAAAACTATCCAGAAGTTACAAAACGTTTGGGTAGCACTACCCATTAACGTTTTCCGTCCAATTAATACGTTATTCGGCCCACTTTTTCCACTTAATTAACTCTCCTAATTAGCTTCTCTCTCCTCCCTCATT